AGTAGCTGCTAGACGTAGCAAGTGTAGGTCCTTTTAAAAAGTCTTCCAAACTCAAGAATTTCCAAAAGTGATTGCAAGAGCAGTTACACCTTGCATATAAATCAAACTTTCCCACACTACTTTTTGTCTGGCTAGGAAACTGCCCTTCCGTCTGATGCTCTTTTAGCCTTCTAGCCGCTGCTGTTTCTTGATGTCGCTAGTGCTCCTGTAGTTATGTTGCTGTTGCTGCAGCGGGCGCTGTTGTACACATCGCCGCTGATGCCGCAGGTGCTGTAGTTGATGTTTTTTTTGTTTTTTGTTGTTTTTTTGTTTTCTTTTGTTTTTTGTTATTTTGTGAATGCAGAAAATTCCACTTTCAACTATGGTACCAAACATTTTTATGCGTACAACAACCTGAAAAATGTATTAAGAAATGCTAAAGTGCACAGAAAAAGTCGAATGTTTTAATATTTAAATAGTTGATATTAGGAGAATAAATCAATTACAAGTATTTCTTGTTATATTTGATGCTACACTTTTATACAAATTCGCCAAAAATCGCGTTACACGGCAACACACGATCGGTTTGAAAGCATTTCGGCTGCTCCATTCCAAAACACAGTATCCAACATTTTCTCGAAAAATCGGGCTTTTATAATTTGGGATATACTGTGTTTAGACGTACCTTTTAACTAGGCCTATACGCAAAAAAATGTAATGAAAAACTTTATCATATAGCATTAATATCTAAAGAATTCGTTAAACAGCCTACAGAGACCAAATAAAAAAACTAAATTACTCTTCACAATTTTATTTTTAACACATAAATTTTTCCTTTAACGCTATTTGCGTATTTTACACCTTGCAATTTGTATTTCCGAAAGTGATTTCTGCAAATCTGCAAAAACTACTTTCTGGCTGTTTACACGGGAAAGTAGACGTTCGATTTTACTGTCAAAATGCGTAGAAAAAGAGCTTGCATTGAAAAATGTTAGATTTACATATCTTTAGAAAAGCTTAAACCATTCCCTTTGTAAATACAAAAATTGTTTTCCTTCACAATTTTCAATTCGTAATGTAGGGCTTTTGCATTGATAACACTGCTCAACAAAATTCTGTTCTTATAGGATTTTTTCCCTAGAATCCGTTGACCATAAAGATATTGGAGTGGCTCTAGTTTTCGAGCAACTTAGGTTTGAAGGTGCGCGTTTTTAGGCATTTTCGAGCCTCTGTAAAACAATAAATTGATGCAATATATCTGTCTGTGTGGGAGGATATGAAAGTCTAAACATTGCCTTTTAATACTAAAAATAAAACAAAATTATGGTCCGAATATTGAAAGCAATTGGAAACAGTTTTTTTTTTATACGAGTACGCAGGATTTTTTGACACTCCTTTTGCCGGTTTTAGATCACTTGTGTTAAATAAATCTAAGCCGATGAAAATTTCTAAAGAGGTTGAAATTGAAGCTCAAACCTTCATCTAAGAGAACATAACACAGGCCAACAAAGTTTATTGACTAAAATATTACAGCCGATCCTTTAAGGATTTGTCCCGTACAGCTGGAATCTGATCTTGAAAATGTTTAATTTTCTATAGTTTTAAACAACATGGGCTTAAAGCTGTCTTTCTCATCTTCATTTCCACTGCTAGAGTCCATCAGTATTTGGTGATTAATCCATGAAACCTCGAGGGTCTTCAAAGATTGGTACAGGAATTTCTGCAGTATGTGGTTAAAGGCCGTTAACCATTTAACCATAATTTGTTGATATTGAGTATTAAAGGGCTGTGCTTAGGCTTTCATATCCTCCCACACAGACAGATATATTGCATCAATTTATTGTTTTACACAGGCTCAAAAATTTCCAACGTGTTTTTCGGTCCATTTAAATCTAAGTTGCTAGAGCCAATCTAATATCTTTAGTATCAGATTCGGATTCTAAGTGAAAAATCCTATAATAATCGGCTATTCCATTTTAGTTAACATAATATTGTTTACATGTTGTATGTCTTGCACTTGCCGACGTTTTGTTTTGATGCATCAGACACTTTTATAAATCTAAAGAATTTTATTAGAAAATCATTATTTGAACCTTATTTAAAAAAAATATTTTGGGTCCTGTCCAAAAGTAATGTTTTATATTTGTACCAGGAACCAAGTTACGGAACGGTGCACGACACATACATGTACACAAACACATATTGGAAAATCCTACGAGAGCATTTGGAAAGGATATTAAACTACGAAAACATTCGTATGAGTATGTAAACACCGTGAGAAAACGTACACACATGCACGCCTATATAGCATATAATCCTGCTTAATCCATGCATAATTGTGTACTTTAGTTACCTATATAGTTGTTATTTAATTTTAGAATATAGGGTATTGTGTACATACATACATTTGTATTTACGCAGGCAAAAATAAATTCTCTATGAATTGAAATTTTAAGATTTCATAAAATGGGACATTCCTGAATTTAAACAATAATATAGATATTAACAATACCCAATAGTTTATTTAAACATTTTCAATTACTAACTATTTTTATAGGACCCCATCAAAATATTAAAAAAATGCAATTGGGGGGCTCATAAAAATGGCTAGTATTAAAAAATGATATACTTTTTTTTTCGGTATAGAACAATCCTGGGGGGTGAGAGCATTAAAATTCCGACTTTACTTTTTAACATGCATTCACATGGGGCATTCCAGTCCGATTCGGACAACCATTTGGCTTTTGCATCTCCGATTTTTTATGTTATAGTAGCAATCAGGGTGGCCTTCGTCAATTGGCACTATCACATTAAAAATTATGAAAAAATCGGAGATGCAAAAGCCAAATAGTGTCCGAATTGGGCTGAAATGCCCCATGTGCATGTATATGGGTAAATTCACGTCAAATGCCCAAGCGCGGTGCAAAATAAGCTACTTTTCGACTAGCTGGGAATCAGACAAAAAATAGGAACAAAAATTCGAAAAATATGATTCCCCTAAATTTTTGTACGGGCTATCCGATGGTGCTATGCGTTTCCGAAAATTTTCCTATTTTCATGGTGAAAATTGGAAACGAAAATTTATATGTAATTTTTCTCAATTATGGTAATTTTTAGTTTTGTTTTTAGTCATCTCAATCGAAAGATCAGGTCTTTTTACATAGAAATCATTAATAAAAAAGGTCCTTTTTTGATTTTTCCGAGCAATAAAGCACTTTAGAGCGCGCTAAGCCGATAAACGTAAACGTGCGTGTCACTTGAATAATGTTATGACTTTGGAGCTACTTGATGTGTGAATCTGAAACTTTAAAACAAAAAATAATAATTTATAACAACTATTGCATTAAAAAAAACACCGCAATTCTTATAAAAAAAGTTTGAAAACCTTTAGTTTCGATTGTAATCAGAATTAAGAAGTGTTGTAAAACATAAATTCTTTGGAATACAAACTATTGTTGTATGAAAATTTCAAATTGATCGATACACGAACGTCTGAGATATAGTTAAACTAAATGAAAATTTGTTTAAAAATTTGCTGTGACAGTATGATGCTCTAATTCGTGCAAGCGAACGGTGACGCGACGGAGCGTCGCAACTACATATGTAGTTAAAGCGTTCTAAACGCTTTATAACTGGGAAAAATCAAAAAAATCTCTTTTTTATAATGATTTCTATGTGAGAAGATGAAAGCGGTTGAGGTAACTAAAAACAAAATTAAAAATGACCATAATTGAGAAAAATTACTAATACATTTTCGTTTCTAATTTTCACCATGAAAATAAGAACATTTTTGAAAACGCATAGTACCATCGGATAGCCCGCACAGAAATCTAGAGAAATCATATTTTTCGAGTTTTGGTTCCAATTTTTGGTCTGATTCCCAGCTAGTCAAAAAGTAGCTTATTTTGAACCGCTCAGCGCGCTTGGGACATTCGACGTGAATTGACCCATATGTATTGTTGTTGAAATCGTTACAGTACATAAAATAAAAGTGGCGGCTGACATGACATGTTCTGGTTATTCATTGTATAATAACTTACGTTAATTAATATAAATTTATTTATAGTTCCGTATTAAGTAAAATTATATCAGATTATTCCTATTTGTCGAAATCCTTTAATGGATATACATATATACATAAATAATTAAAGAACTTATCTATCTGCTAGTAATTGCCTAAGTTAAATCCTAGTCAAAAGGCTCAAAAGCTATTGAGCAAAAATTAAATGAAATAAAATAAAATAATATAATATTATGATAAAGTACATATACCCTAATGAGCTGAGCTGTTATTGTTAAAACAGTTTTAGTAAATATAAAAATGCAAGTAAAGAAATTGTTGTTGCTAGTAAAATCCACTCTATATAAAGTATTAAGTATGTCGAAAGAAGATGGGGAACAGTAGGGATTAAATATGGAATCCATATGAGACCAATATTTATGCGTAATGCTTTTCGAATGCCGCAAACATACAATTGTGCAATATAAAAAAGTATACCATAATATATACATGTATGTATTACATAAATAAATGTCACATTATAAAAAATGCATATGAATAAATAATAAAATATAGAAATAAATGTATGGTTTGATTTCCTTTAGGTGTGGTAATAAAATACCAAAAAAATCCAAAATAGTTCATTATCCATTTACTGTACTCATTTATTGTAAATATTTTAAAACCAGTACGAAAAATATGTACATCTGACTGTGATAAAACCGACTGCTGAGTGGAAGATCGACCTATCTCGGTAGCCTGTATGAAAACGCCCTACCTCAAAAAACTTTTAAAGAACGCCCTATTTCAGAATTTTATCGAAACACACCCCATCTCAGAATTTGGTTGAAGAACGCCCTATCTCAGAATTCGGTTCAAAAACTCCCTATCTCACTTCAAAATGTATTGAAAATGTGATGAGATTTTGAATCGGCAGCTGAGATAGGGCGTTTTTGAAACGAATTCTGAAATAGGGCATTCTTCAAACAAATTCTGTAATAGGGCGTTCTTGAAAAGTTTTTTGAGATAGGGCGTTTTTGAACTGGCTGCCGAGATAGGTCGATCTTCCACTCAGCAGTCGAAACAGTTGAGCTCTTTCACCTTAATAGGTAAACGCATTTAAAACCAGGCTGGTAAAGGATCTTGTGCGCCGTTTTTGTAACTAGGTAGTGCAGTACAGGGACGCTGTTGGCGCCAAAATTCTTGTCGTTTTTTTAGAAAGTCTACAGCATCCTTCGCGTAAGTGGATATGCTCTCCGTATTCGTATCGGCGCGCACTAAATCCGGGTGCTTTAGCAGATTTTCTAAGTACTCTTTGTCAACGCACAATTCACCTAGCAACTTGCGCGCATTTCGTCGTTCCATTTCCGTATCTGATAATTTCGAGCGAACAGGTTGCTGGCAATGTTTTAGCGATTCTTTTTTGACTAAAAAATCACTATTTTTCTTAACCGGCGCAGATATGTTCCGTGCTGAGCTTTTACCTATGGTGTTTTCAATAGCTTCTTGAGTTTTTTGAACTCCCAAGCGGAATGATGCCAATTCAGGGCGAGTGCGCAAGCCTTGATGGAAGAACATTAGGCTCTGTTCGAATTGGCCGAGGAAGTATAATGCTTCTGCTTTCTGATATATTGCGCGAATATTGTTTTTATCCTCGGCGAGTGCAGTTTCCGCATCTTGTAAGGCTTTGGAAGGCTCCCCGAGCAGGAGGTAACATTTACTACGGGAAACCAGCGCATTTATGTCAGTGCTATTGAGTTCAAGTGCCTGAAAATGAGTAATAAACTGTTTTAGTCAATTATACATACATATGAAAAAAAAACTATATACATGGGTATTTGCATGGCAGAGGTTCATTATAGCGAAAAAGGGTCTAAGTTGTTAAATATATTAAACCATATTGAAAATATGTCAAAACACTATACTCATTCCCTTAGCATTGCTAGACTTGAATAAAATTAGTGCCAGCGAAATTATAAAAAAAATAAAATAATTGGAAACTTCCAATAACATAAATCCATTTATCTCTTTCATATCTCTATAAACTTCTTTGTAATTTCTTTTTGCAGCTATACTCCATTTAGTTCTCAATAACATCCTAAAATCAATAAATTAATTCTTTCGAGAGCTTTTGCATACATTTTGATAAATCAGCATTGCTCAATATCCCTGTGCCGAAATTGTAACGCGAGTGACTAGAGTCCGACCGATTCCAATTTTTTGTTTTTTCAGGTACCGATGCCGATGCCGATTAATCGGCTTATGGGGAAAGAATCGGCCAATGCCGATGCCGATTCCATAAAAAATTACAAATAAATGTATTAATTCATAAAATCAGTTATTTAACGGAGTTAACAAAACAAAAGAAAAAAATAATAATAATTGAATTACATAATTGGCTTGATATGCAACTTTATATACACATTAGAGTGGTTCAAAAAAAATTTTTTTTGGAAATTCACAAACGCTACCTCAAATTATTGTTACTTGTGATAAAAAAGAAGACACGTATTTTTTTATTTTGAAAAAAAAGTTTTTTTAGATGTCGCGCTGGTCGGTTTTTTATAAAAACGCTGATGTTTTCAATTTTTTTATTTTCTTGACATGTTAAAATTCAGCTAAAAATTTGGTTTTTACATTTAATTACTCTGGTATTATTGGGGAATATTCCCTTAATTACACACCTGTCTTGGACAAATGGAATGGGCCTAGTTCCGAAAATATTCTCTCGAAAAGACATTAGTAAAATTAAAACGTTGATACTGAACGATTTACGCGTTGTCATGGATTGGAACTTGTTAAAAAACTAAAACTTTTTTTTCAAAATAAAAAAATACGTGTCTCTTTTTTTATCACAAATAACAATATTCTGATGTAGCGTTTATGAATTTCCAAAAACAGTGTTTTTATGAACCACTCTAATACACATGTATGTACATTAGACTGCATCACTCCCCATACAAAAAAAGCAGTACTATTTTTCCATTGGAATTATAAAATCTATTATATTTTAAGACGTCCACCGAAATATTTCGGAAAAATATTAAGATTTAAATGAGCTTGACCGATTTGAAAATACCTCCAAAAATGGAGTTTTTTATGAATAAAAATAGTTTCTTAAAGATTTTTTTTTAAAAACTCCCTCAAATGACAAAACGGTTCAAGCTTAAAAAATTTGCATAAAAATATTTTTAAAAAATTAAAAAAAAAATTGAACGGAATCGTAATGATGAGATTTTTGATGCTGTTTTTTAACTTTTTTCAAAGATTGGATTGGATTGAATAACTGAACCTAAACTGTTCCAATTTAGACTTAAGAGTTGTCATTGGAAAGGTATTTTCTCACCCTTGAAAGAGAAAGGTAGGATGAGCGCACGGCAATAAGATGTGTTGGTGTTTGAAAAAAAAGGGAACCAAATGACTTTTTTCGCACAGAAATAAAAACAGTGTGAAAATACCATTCTACTGAGATCCCATAAGTCTAAATCAGAATAGTTTTGGCCCAGTTATTCAAGTTTTTCGTAAATCAATCTTTGAAAAAAGTAAAAAAACAGCATCAAAAATCTCATTCTTACGATTCCGTTGAACAGATTTTTTAATATTTGTATGCAGATTTTTTAAGCTTAATCTGTTTTGTCATCTGAGGGGACTTTTTTCAAAAAGTTCTTTAAGAAACTATTTTTATTCATAAAAAACTCTATTTTTGGAGGTATTTTCAAATCGGCCCAGCTCACTTAAATCTTAATATTTTTCCGAAATATTTTGGTGGATGTCTTAAAATATAATAGATTTTGTAATCCTGGCGGAAAAACCGCAACTTTTTTTGGTGATGCAGTCTAATGTACATACATATGTATGTGTAAAAATATATGTTCATATATCACATTTATGTACATTACATAAAACACTTTTTTATATGGAGCTATGCAAGAAATATTTAGGAACATAAAATTTCATTTCGTTTTGTACTAAAATACATTCCCTTTGCACTCAATGCATTAGAACTTATATGCTAGGTATGTACATATGTACATACATATAGTGGTCCACAAAATAAAAGAATTGCCATATTTTGACCACTTGCTCAGTTTGGTTAATGCCCCTTATTTTTCAACCAAGGTTTATGCCCTATCGCAAAGGAGGGAGGCTATTGGAAAAGCCGTTAAATTGCCTATGAAAATAAGAGAAAAGCCATTTCAAAATTTAACTAAATGTGGTGAAATTTATACTCAAGACTTTACCATACGTCTCCGTAGAGTAAAAACTCTATTTAGCTTGCGAAATAGAGTGTAGAGTTGTCGTCGAGTTTTCGATCTAGTTGCGATGGCCTGTGTACGCGGCGAAAAGGTCTAAGTCTCGCGTTTTTTCTCTACCGTGTACACTTAGCTTTATACTATATATACTATATATATCGCTCGTTCACCTGAAGACCGCTAAAACTTAAAAATTTGGTATTCCAAATTAAACCAAAATAAATAGTAATCAAAAAATGTATCAAATATAATCGTTAATACAAATTAAAGCAAAATACAGACTTCCTTACTTTCTCAAAAACTTATTGTGGGTTTGTACATAACAGAAGGACTTGAAGGCCGTTTCACCTAAACTAATTTCTTTTTTTGATTATGATTTTTTTCCAGCAAAAAGTTTTAAAGATTTTAGCATAAGGCTTTTTACGCAATTATGACTCATGGTTTAACGAGTTATTCTGTCGTTTTTTTAAGTTGTGGTATTATAATAAAGTAATTGTTCAGCCTTTTCTGGAAGGTATGTACTGTGGCCGCTGTGGTGTAGGGGTAAGCAGTGCGCGCTTCCACTCCACAACACCTGGGTTCAAATCCTGGTCAAAGCAACACCGCAAGATAATAGAAAAAAGGTTTTTTCTTAACAGCGGTCGTCCCTCGGCAGGCAATGGCAAACCTCCGAGTGGATTTCTGCCACAAAAAACAGCTTCTCATAAAAATACAATCGCCGTTCGGAGTCGGCATAAAACTGTAGGTCCCTCCGCTTTGTGTGACAACATCAAGGCGCACGCCACAAATCGGAGGAGAAGCTCGGCCAAACACTACCATATGTGTAAGCGCCTACCTATAATTATATTATATTGTGTACTTATAAATACAGGGTGGCGACTAATAACTGTTACCATTTTTTTATTAAAAGGATTTTTTTATAGATTTTGCGAAAAAAGTACATTATAAATTTTCCGCAGATTTTACTTTAAATTTATTAATACGTTTTTAATTTTAACCTTTATTTGGGCTTACTAGCGGTAAATACTTTGAGAGAAAAGTGTAAGCGGCAAGCAAGTCTTCGTCCGATAATTGATTTCATATTTTCTGTAACCATAGGCTAATTGCCTCCATTTTGAGTCTTTTATACTCGCCTTTTGTCCTACGTAACGCATTATACTCCGAAATCGATCAGACTCGGAACTGGTGACTAGGACGGCCATAATTCGACCATCCCTATTCAGGTTTTCTTGTTTTTCTCTTTTTTTATATAAAGTCTAAGAAGAAATACACCTGAAAAAAATCTTAAAGAGGCTTGCGTGCCGCATGAACTTATCTCCCAAAGTGTACACTGCTAGCAAATGCTTATTAGGATTAAAATCTTAAAACTGATCAATAAAATTAAAGTAAAATCTGTGAAAAATTAACAATAAAATACTTATTCGCAAAATCTATGAACGAGCCTTCAATAAAAAAAAAAAAACTGCGTACCAGTTATTCAACGCCACGCTGTTATGCGTACTTAAATATGATCTGTGGACATTTTTAGCGCATACTATCAAAAATTACAAGTTTTTGATGAGTCTACTTTTAATGTATGTATGTACATACGTATGTATATTTGCACTGCATACTTACATACATATCCAATTTAAGATATTTGTTTTGTTCGAACCTGTGAAAAGAAATGAACTGCATTTTCTGGATTTGCGTTTTTAATTTCCTTCAATCCCAATGCTATTATGGAATTAATGTCTGCCTCATCTGGGATTTGCATGATTTCATTGCGGTCTTGCTTTTGCTTTATCTGCAGACTTTGTTTGATATCGTAGGTGCCGGCGCTTACAGCTGCTGCTCTGTCTTTATCAGTATAAAAATCGACAAAATTTTCTTTGGGTTTCTTTTTTAAGAATTGATCCTCGACCTTTCTCCGCGCTGCACGCAATTCCGCCTCTATACGATTCCCTCGACCGGAAGCTCCGACTATACCACTCTTCTCCGCTTCATCGGCGAATTTAACCGTCTTGCGACCGCTAACCAAATTTCGAGCATCTGTAAAAGCCTTAGATGAACCACCGTTGCTCTTTTTACTCGATTGAGAAGCTCGAGCTCTACTAGTTTTGCGAGGAGATTCCTCTAAAGATTCTTCATCTGCAGTCACTCCAATTCGTATAAAACTCTGCAGTAATTCTTGCTCCTTATCTATAGCTAAAATATTTTTCAAAACATTCGTCATTGCTTAAGATGAATTCTACTTAAAAAAAAAACAATTCGACTTTTAGTTAGAATAATTCAGGAGTTTTCGCTTAAAACTTTGATTTTTATCTTCGGCCTTTTTTGGCTACTGTGTACATGTGTACATATATGTATATGATGTATGAAGAGGCAACTCGGCATTGGCGTTAGAAGTACATTTTGGGATACATTAGGGATGTAGTCTTTAAATTGAATTATTTCAGATAAAAAGTTGTAGCTTTACGTGACATTTCTAACATTTTCGGCAAAGCGTAGGCGCAAAAGATATGCCACAATGAACACATCTCACGTTTAATAAAATAGAGCTGTAACTTAAAATTTACAAAGAATCTGGGGATTTTGTTATGCAATTAATAAGCTTGATAAGCAGAATATGTTCAGTCTAACAGATAACCAAACTTCCCAAATGTGTGGCGAAGATATGTATCTCTTCATCTGTTTTTTGTATACCAACTGTATGAATTAATAAAACTTTGATTGCGTCTTCCCACAAAATTGAAATTTTGAAATACTTCGTTATAGTTATTAGGTTTGGGCACCTACAGCCCAACCCCACTAAATAGTTTGACGGCCGTTAAAGTCTGCAGTGTACGGAGCTACTATAGCTTATCGGTGCGCCGTTGTTGTTGTTGTTGTAACTGCCTACAAATTCCCCAAAGAGTTTTAGGGGAGTCATGCTGGAGTGACAGTCCTTGGCAAGGCGAATTTATATAAGGTGGTGTTACTAGATTAGCTGATTTTGTGTATGTGTTTCGCCTCACGGCTTCGAATGTCAAATTGAAATGTCTTGTTTGCATTTCCACACACACTCTTACAAATTTTGACAGTTAACGCCGCAAAAGCAAAAACAAAATATATGTGAATTGGTGTTTTTGCACTCTTGATATCATCTTATACTAATTCGCCTTGGTCCTTGGCCAGATATAAATCTGTGTCTTTACGATTACGTAGACCCGACTGTCGTGAAAAGGATCGGTGCTCAGTCGGGTTTATTGGTTCTTTTATGTATGACTGGATCGCATCCGTATATTCGAAGAAATACCTTCTGACGAGCCTGGAAGGTATAAGTTGTTTAGTTGTTGTCCCTTCTTTCAATACAAGTTTATTATTTTAGACTATCTTGCCGCAAGAAAAAGATAATTAACTTTAACTCAGATTTGCTTGCGTATAAAAATTAAGGTATGTGTTTGTATCCACCCTGATGTGATGGCGATATGTAGGCATGTGTGTATATGCTTACTGTTGCCAAGATACATTGTTAATCGATAATTTTCAGCTCTTTTAAATTACACTGTGGTACAGTTATAAGATTTTTGTTTAGTGCTTCAACCAAAATATGCACATATCTAGGCGTGATAGTCTAACCCTAAGGAGATTTTGCTGAGCATAACTTCTTTACATTGGGTTACGGGATCCAATATATGTATGTACATACAAGTACAAATATATAATGCATACATAGGTATATACAAATGTATGTACATATGTGTGTATATCCCATGAAATTTTATGGATAAATCGACTTCGGAAAACTAGTAAAATTTAGCAATTTTTTTCGAGGGAAATTTTAACCCTTCTAAGTCTGAAGAACTGGTTCTCAATCCAGGTAAACAGCTCTTTCAAGCCATTGAAAACATGGACTTTGTTAGGTCTACCACCTGTTGCGCTTGCTTCAGCCTCCGGCCGCGCTTAGGGATTATAACCCTTACTAAGTAGAATTCTCCTTTCCGTGTTGCCGGAGAAGAGGGGCTTCCGCATGCCAAAGGTATACAACATTTCTTGTGCATATAACTCCGGCTACGCCATCCGCAGTATTTTTGCGTAGAACCGATATCGAAACCGAATTTGTTAATAAACTAGTGGTCGGAAATTTGAAACATTTGTTTTAAATAAAAGTTTAATCCTTTGATTACACGTATGTGTTAAAGTTTTTGGATTCGGGTTATGCGTTTGGACACATCAACCACAAATCATTGTACAAATAACTGAACCGGACCCAAGTTTCTTGATAAGGGACAAAAAAGATTCTATTTTGTTTCTTTTATATAAGGCAGTGGATAAAAAAATACATTTATGGGAAAGGCAAATTTATCGGTTTAAATGAACACCACTAATATTCCCTGCAAACACACATCGATTTACACCTTTTATCTTACCTCCCACACAGAATTGTTTTCGTACAAAGTTACGCAAAAAAGCTGTTAATTTCTTACTCGTTCGTTTTTAGGCACGCCATTGTTACGAATTTCGAAAGTTCGAAAATATGATTCGGATTGCAGCATACTACTTTGCTTTATCAACCAAAACATTGTGGGTTAGGATAGGCCCTCTGTTGGCTTTCCTTTAAAATATGCAGAATGCATATACATACATACATACATACATATGTATGTAAATCAATCTTTTAGCTTTTTTATAAATGAAGCTTAAAGCTTATTTTAAAGCTCGCTGATTGTTGGCAAAACAAAAGTACAGTATTTCCCGCAAATAAGCACTCGGAAAAAATATAGAAAAAATGTGTTTGCTTAACAGCGGGCGCCCCTCGGCAGGCAATGGCAAATCTTTTTTTGAAAATCATTAGGCATGTTTTTAAAATCATTTTTGTGGTATTGTAATATTTCAAAACAGCAAGTCAAAGATATTCAATTTCAGATACTTATAAAGTATGATTTTCGTGCTGATCAAAAAATATACATATGTTTGTTGAAATTATGTATAACCTTTAATAATATAACCCAACAAACATTTTGGTTTGAGCTCAACGTGAGGTTAAGTTGAGAACTAAGGTATTTCTCAAATCTCTAGCCTTGTTTCTCAGCAGTACCTCTAGTGGAGGATCATAGCGGGCAAAGGCCAATTTTCTTTGTATGAAAATAGGACTGTTTCTCAAGTTGAGAAAAAGCTAGTTGTCAACTTGAACTCGAATGTTATTCTGATACAAGCAATTTTTAGCAAAAAAAAAACCGCCTACAACTCTCATATAAAAACAATATATATATATATATATATATCTCATGATCCACTGATCGGATCTTAACCAGATTAGTATGGGACCACCTCTGAGACACTACCTTTCCGATGCAAAAAGAATTATCGGTGGACGTGTTCCAAAGTTATGCGGTAACATACATAAAAAAGAAAAAAATATATTCCGACGAACTGATAACCTCCTCCTTTTTTGGAAGTCGGTTGAAAATTTATACCTTTTTGATTCAAACGACATATATAAATTTAAATATTAATTTTTTATTTTTTTACTCCTTTTGTTATATGTAGTTAATCAATATCGTATCACAAAGTCAAGGTTTCAGTCGTCCGTCTACTGTCCGACATTAAGTCTACCACTTGATTCACTTCACGTTTTATTTTCTTTGAAGACATTATTTACTTTTTGTTGGTAGTTTTCCTCTTTATATAGAATAGGCAGTTAACTACAGATTTTTGTATTGATATTCTATAGATAACTGCCGATTCTGAGTTAACTACGCACTGTGAATTTGGCCCTTAAAGAGCTCTGTAAAGTGACGTTTTCATAAAAATTTTCAATTTATAAAGCAGTTAATGTCTTCTTTATTTTTTATGAATTTGGGTGTTAGTTTTTCACTTTATAATTAAAAATTCGTTTCTTTATCACTTTTTACGTGTAGATTTTGTACTTTCGAATGCTTATGTTTTTTGTCAAAGCTGCACTTGCATATTCTTGTATATTAAAAGAGATGAGTTGGATAATGATGTTGGTGTTTGTTGGGAAGGTTACCTTCATATAAGGGACTTAATACTTAGTGATGTATATTATTACAGATCTCAGCAATGGTCGCATCTAATTTGGTTTGTTTCCGATCATTGGATCACGAAGAAACTAACGGTACTCCTAAATTTTTATATAAGCATTGAGGTCGGTTGTTTTTTTTTATAACAATTACTTGTTTTGTATAGATTGTTTTCTTTCAAGAACCTCTATTCATAGTACCAAAGGCTCTTATAAAATATTCATTCTTTTTATTGAGTACAGATTTAGTATGTATACATACGTTTGTTGCTGTTATTGTAACGGCTGCTTAGTCCTGCCTAGAATCGGATAGTCCATCCTTTCGATGTCGTCAAGCTCAACTAATGGTAACGTGCTGTTTCTAGAGAGGGTGTTAGCTGAGTGGGCTTAAGTGGGCAGATGAAGCGGTGGTGGAATATCCACAAGCCGTACATGTGTTTGGTATGTCGGAGTCGAGTCTGGATATATATTAGTTCAGACGACTGCAGTATTCAGACCTTAACTGAGCCAGAGTAATGCGGATCTTTCGTGGCAGCTGGATTTCGCTGTCTGATATTGATATCTGACTGAGCTCCAATAATGGCACTAATGAGGCGAGATTCACTGAAAGTGGTGACGGACTCTCTGTGAATGTCGTATAGAGCCCTCGGACACTACATACTTTTTCGGGCGCCGATTTAGTTGACCTCGCTTGAAATACATGATATTATATGGAGGCGCACTACACCAACTTAATTGCGGCCGATTAGGTAATTGCATGCGCAACCCAATTGCTGACTGAACTGGAAAACAGAGTACGAAAACAAACCGAACGTACCCATTGCCACAACAAGTACGAAAAGTTTGTGTTCCTTTTCTTATAATATTCTCGAACGCTAATAATACACGATACGTTTGTTCTTTTGCTAACTTGCATGGCTTAGATTGTGGTAAAGGTACCTACTCATCCTGAACAAAATCGAAACCAAAGAACGTAAATCTATAAGAGACAACACGTTATAATTGTAACGAGTGGAAACATCAGGAGCGTGCTTTCTCTTTTGCCCAAATACGTTTTGTGATTGGATGAAAAGAGAAGGCACGATCCTGATGTTCACACTCGCTACAATTATAACGTGTTGTCTCCTCTTATAGATTTACGTTCTTTGCCGAAACGAAACACGATATACAAAACAAAATGAATCATTCCTTTAGCGCTCAGCAAATTAATGTTGCCTATGTAGTTAGCAGAATGGTTCAACTTAGGGATGCCGAAATAACATCGATGCATCGAAAATATCGATGTTTCGCTTCGATGCATCGAAAATTTTTCACTCGATGTATAAATAGTTGATGCATCGAGGCGTCGATGCATCGATGTTTTCTGAAAACTGACATCTCAAGTACATCGAATGGCCGAACATCGCTTTGTCTGAAGTTCATAGAGAGCAAGATGCAGTTTTATAGC